TGTCTGAAACCCTCTGAGTTAAGAGTCATACTGGAAATAAATTTAGTAGCATAATATTTTTGTTACTATGATACAAAAATGCTTCAAGATAACATTGAAAAGTTTAGTTGATATCTATATCTTATGTTCAAATATACATAGAAACACACTAACAGCAAGGTTTTTATGAACTCTTTTTAAGCAAAAAATTATATTCTAATATTTATAAATTCCAAATGCATGATTTTAAATAATTTGAACCCTTTAAATCAAAATGGAACAGAAAAATATTGTTTAGTAAAAGCCCTTTTGTTTCCCTATTTTTTTTTCCAGCTCAAATATGTGAAGTGTATCGCTGAATCACGGGATGAAAGAGATCTCTGGAGGTCATCTAGTCCAACCACCTTGCTCAAGCAGGGCCACCTAGAGCCTGTTGCTTAGGAACATGTCCAGATGGCTTTTGCACATTTCCAAGGATGGAAACTCCACCACCTCTCTCGGCAACCTCTCAGTGTTCTGTCACCCTCACAGTAAAAAAGTGTTTCCTGATGCTCAGACAGAACCTCCTGTGTTTGTTTGGTTGTGCCCATTACCTCTGGTTCTGTCACTGGGTACCACTGAAAAGAGCCTGTCTCTTCATCAGCAAATTTCCTCATCAACCAGGTCATTAATGAATGTTAAAGAGGACTGGACCCAGTACTGGCCCCTGGGGCACACTGGCATACAACTCGACTCTGCACTGGTGATCACCACCCTCTGGGTTCAGTGGTTCTGACAGTTTTCAGCCCACCTCACTGCTCATCAAGAGCTTCTCTATGAGGATCTTACAGGAGTGTCAAAGGCCTTACTGTAGTCCCAGTAGACAACAGCCACTGCTCTCCCTTCATCTGCCAGGTGAGTAATTTAATTATATAAATTTATCTAGTTGGTCAAGCGTGACTTCCCCTTGGTGATGCCATGCTGACTACTCCTGACAATTTGCTTGTCCTTACTGTGCCTGGAGATGGTTTTCAGGGTTAGTTCCTCCGTCACCTCTCTGGGGATCAAGGTGAGGCTGAACAGCCTGTAGTTCTCTGAGTCCTCCTTCTTGCCCTTCTTCAAGATAGGAGTGACATTTGCTTTCCTCCAGTCTTCAGGTACTTCTCCCAATGGCCATGATCAATCAATCAAAGATTATCAAGAGTGGCCTCATAGTGACATAGCTCCCTCAGCACTCGTGCATGCATCCCATCAGGACCCATGGATTTACTTATGTCCAGTTTGCTTACATATTCCCTGACCTGATCATCTTCCATCAAGGGTATATCTTCCTTGCTCCAATCCTTCCCCTTGGGTTGGCATCTCTGGGACCTGTCATTCCTGACTTGCTACATTCAGTAGTTAAGACTTTTTCATGTCCTGTGTAACCAAGTCCCCCATCTCATTCAGCAATGGGTACACGTTTCCTAGCCTTTCTTTTGTCTCCTTTGTACTTACAGAAGCCCTTCTTGTTGTCTTTGACATCTCTTGGCATGTATAGCTGAATTTACAAAATTTCACAGTAGTGTCATCAATGAAACTCAGATTTTGCCTCTGTAGCACATTCTAAAGGTTCTGTTAAAAGGAATCCCCACTGTAAAAATTTGAAACACAGTAAAATACTAACTAATTCTGGAAAAATACGAAACAACTTATTTTCCAAAGTATGAACATATAAAGACAAGAAAAAAATAAAACAAACAAACAAAAATAATAATTTGAAACTTTTTTGCAACTGTCTAATTAAAATTTATGGAAAAGAATACAGTGTTCTGAACATTGTGGCCTGAAATTTTTACAGTAAGCACACATGTTTCTATATATGTATAGCGCCAGCTGGTTTTCAAACAAGTTGCTTCTGTGTATTTGAGAGAAGAATTGGGCATATATTTAAAAAAATCTGAATTTTAGTAAAAGACAATATTTTTAGTATTTAATGTGCAGATCACATTTTATTTACCTGACTGATTTAAGTAATTACTCATACAACAGTGCATTGTTACTAGTTCATATGAAACTCCACGCATCACATGATAGTAAGACCAAGTCAGAATTTGCAGGGTGTATCTTGTTTGAAATTCCTGTGCTGTGGTTTCATCATTATGCTTATTAAGTTCCCAGTTAATCAAAGACCACAAATCAAAAGGTCAACTTTTAATAAATTCCCACATGGACAATTACGACATCTTTCAATGATAGTAAAGCAGACATTATATCCCTTTTTTACATGATTTTAGAACTGCCTACTTGTAGAAGTATGACTGCACACCAACAGTCACAGGTTGATATGCCACTACAGCTGAAGTCTGGATTTGGCCTTCTATGGCTACATTGAATTTTTTCCTTGGAGCAGCAGTGAAGTTTTGAAGCAAATCTGACAGTCCTCAGTTGCTACTAAGTAGTTTTGGTGTGTATTAGGTTGCTTTATCAGGACACTAAAGTGGAAGTCCTCTCCAAGTGCATATCAAGCAATCTCCAGTGGTTAAGTGGACAAAAAGCTCCAATGAACTTTAGCTTTCAGCTAGGGATCAGAAAAAATCTAATCCAACCAAAAACATTCAAATCACATATAGCATAGATGTATGGGCCTACTCACCAAATACATTGCTCTAATAATCTGTCTTGCATCCAATTACTTGCTTATGCAGACATTGCCTATACCTCCTGATATTTTGCTACAAACTTGCACGTTACTGATTTTTAGAATGAAATCCAAACCTGTAGCTCTACTAGTTCACCACTTGGGACTAAAGACTGCAGATGCCATCACTACACTGCTATTGGTCATGAATGCTTCAGACAGTTTTGCATGTACTGTTTTGATTTTCTTCTTCTTAGGAGTTCTGTGCTTGTGACAAATTCCCACAGTTTGACCTTTGTGACTTTTGTAGAAGTGACAAAAAAAAAAGTTCAGCCGAATCATCTGCACTAGGGGAACAGTGGATACTGTTAGACCTCATGTAAAGGAAAAGTAGGTTCAAACATTCATGCTCTCCTTCAAAGAAAGGTTAAAGAAAATAACTATACGAAACTATCATGAACACTGAAATGTTGTTTGTCTACCATACCTTTAAAGTTTAAAATAATCAAGTGTAATACAGATGCTACTATTATATTTATGCTTTAAATATTCCTTCATTATTAACACAGCTAAGGCTACTTACTGCTGAATAAATAAAAAAAAAAATCTACAACACAGTGTCTTTTTTATTGTTGTGTGGTTTTGATTTGGTTTTTTAATGTTTCTGTCCCTTTTAATTATTACAACCTTGTGACTTTTCTGAAATAGAGCCAAATAGACTAAGAGCTTTGGGAAAGCTATTCCTCTGGATACTACTATTAGGGTCCTCACACGAAATAACAGTTTAATTTGTCATTAACACAGCTGACATTCAATTTCCTTACCTCTCCTCCAGACACAGTACCAGTTACAACCCAGCTTTATATAAATTCTCAATTCCTACTCTTTTACTTCCACAATTACAGAACAGCTTACAGACACATCTCCATCCAATTGAAAAGCATGCGTTACACACTTACCCTGTTTCACAAAAACACACCATACAACATAACAGGAACATAGCCTGATTTTTTTTTCCCTAGACATACAGTTAAGCAAGAAAGAATAATTTTATACAAAAACAACATTAAGCAGTGATGTGTTTTCAACTCCTCTCTTACCCCCTCCAAAACCTTGGGCTCCTTCCCAATATTTGCTCTCAAATGAGTATTAACATGTTCAAAACTCGTAACTACCTCACTCTAAGGTGAGATTTACAGCCTTGTTGCTCAGATTCTTTAACATTTGGCATGTACCATATATACAAGGCCTTCTCACACAAGTACCTAACATGTCCATACAACCACCATCTGCATAAGCAGGATCATGTACATTTGGTATATCTTTTATGAACATCTAAGTTTCCAAATGAAGTTGACGCACATACACAGAATGTCAAGAGAACTTGCGACAGAAAAACAAAACAAAACAAAACCAGTTGGGTTAACACTGTTCATAGTATGCCACACTGTATCAAACTCATTTCACTTTGTATTCTCAGGAAAAACAAACACCACTTAGACTCTGGGTGAGAACTTGAAGTAGGAATGGCTGAAGAATCTTAGCTAATCGTTCCATATATATTTCTGTAACCATTTTTTCCTCAATAATCCTACTGAGAAAACAGTAATCACAGTCTAATCCAAATAAAGTTGTTCCTTAAATATTACTATGTAATGCAATGTTCTGCAGTAATGGAACACCAAAACTTCTGAACTTACGTTGCACTCAGGACAGACAAGAAGTGAGAAAAATATTTTAAGGAGAAAGGCAATTTAATTCAAAATAAAAGTGAAGACATTATTTTAACCAACTCTCAATTTATCTTTCAAATATTCTCCCTACAGATTTCTATTTGAGAATCAAGTTTGGAAAGTTATATACAAGAGACAGAAACTAAACACCTCTACTATTTGTGAAAGATTGCTCAAACTGATTGGTTTTAAATCAGAACATAAGAAATATGATCTCAGAGATTTAGAATGCAAGAGGAAAGAGATGGTTTAGGAAAAATATATGCCCTCTATACAAAGAAGTATCTTTAATGTTTAGACACTTTAGAGGTAAAACAGCCATGAATGTATGAAAAATAAAATGATCTATGTTTAAATAACTGTTCCCAAACTTTGAGTAGTGAAGTTAAGCTTGCAGATTTATGCATAGAGTGGAAAATCATTACACTTTCCTATTACTGCACACTACCATGTTGTAAATCAGAGTAACCTGATTTACAAACTTTATACGTAGCGGGGGAAATGATACTTCCCAACTATCTCTTGCTTCAACAGCAGAAATATCTTTTCAAAGAGAGGTTGCTGATTTTTATAATATTTATATTAAATCTTAATCTAAGTATTTATCACTTAAAAGAAGAAAAAATCCAAATAGATCCCAAGCAGAATATTCTTAACTTTTCAGTTAATTTGTTCCCTCCCCTTCTTACCTTCTCCGGAGGTGCAGGAGGGTGAAATCTCTTTGCACAAACTAGAAATGCATCAGGCTGTGGCTTGCTACACTTCACCTCGGGGTCATCTCCCAACACAATATGATGAAAAAGACTAAAGAAGTCTTTGTGTCTGGTTGTTTTCATCTGAAATGTCACTTCAGCTGAGCTGGTGGCAACAGCTATGGGTATGTTGTGTTTGTGTAAATGACGGATCAGCTTATCAACCCCTGCAAGACAAATGTATACATTTTATTTTTTTATATGCGCATATATGTAGGTATACGTATTAGTATTTATACCTACTACAATACATTTAACAGTATTTCAACTATGTTGTCTTACTGAATGTAACAACCTATTTCAATCAGTTAGTGTAGAAGAAAATTCTTGCTATATCGGAAACATTCCTTCTCCACACAAAAATCATGGAACATTCCTCAGAGTATATACTTGTTCTGTCATCAAATTATGCTTTTCTCAAAATCTGACAAAAATGGGTTCAACATCATTGCATCAAGTACACCCACAAGAAACTCATTAAGCAATGTCCCCAACGTTATGTATGTTTATTATTTAAAATTTTCTCTCTGTAAATGAGAGAAAAGCACACAGGGGAATTTTTTATTTTTCACACAATTATGCTCTTGAAAAAAACAAATGAACAAACAAACAACCAACCCACAAAAAACCCCAAAGAAATACAGTCTTCTCACTGAAGGGTATAGTTTTCATTTCTGAAGAAGGTATCTTAACTGGCCTAAACCAGCCCCTAAGAGAGCTCAGTTTCTCTTTTGCAATTACTAAAGCAAGTAACACTGGGCAGAGGAGGGGAGCTGTCAGTCACAGTTGTTAATACCAGAGCTTTATCTATCGATGCTGTGAACCCAGAGTAATGAACACCTCAAGCCTAATGGGTAGAAACTTCAATCTGATCCAGTCTTCTAGGGAAGGTTAATGCAGGGAACAGTGAAAACACAGCAGTCTGTGTAAGAGAGAAACATACTTCATTATTCGGTGCACGTTTTGAGTTTCCTATGCAGAGGTTTCAATCCTGCTTCGCTGTAGCATTCTAAATGCCGGATATCCCTCCCAGACAAAAAATTAAGAGTGTCTATTGAAGAAGGAGAGTGGATGTCTGGTCTTTACCAATTCACAAGAGAAAATCCCTCCATATCTGTAAAATCATTTCAGCTCTGCTTCTTGGCAGGCATCTAAACTGTGCTGGACAAAGGATATTTGTTTCAGGTAGATAAGCCTCCAGTTGAATTTTGGCTCTCGGAACCAACTTGAGAACAATTCTTTGTTTTCATCTTCCATCTACATGAATTCTTATCCTACTTTTCATGCCTGGCTATACTAAAGTAATATTATTCCCTTCCTCCTGATTCACTGCCATACTTATGTCTGGTCCCTGCTCCTTCAAAACATACCTACTCCTCATGTCCATTTAATTCTTTCCTTTGCCACCACAGCATCTCTGATTTGCATTTCCCCTGTGACCCAGCCTTTCTGCTCCATTTTGACAATTCTACAAACAACAATCTTACCTGCAACATCTTTTTCCAAGTGTAGTCATATGCCCAACTTTGAGAAGTTATAATTACTACTGACAATAAAGTGTTCAAATTAGTAAGTAGGTGCTTTAACTAAACAATCTATCTGGAAATATGACCTATAGATGTGGCCCTCTACACATTTCTTCTCTATTCTCCAGAATCTAACCAACCAATTAATAACTGACACTTCCAGCTCCATGCTTGTATTTGAAGACAGCCTTTAAACTATAAATACATGCAGTTCTGTGATGTTAGATTTCCAGCTGGACAGAAATTGCAACAGTGTTATTCCTCCTCTAATGTCAAAGCATCACCCATTTCAAAGCTTTCCTATTGCCCCCTAAATGGTTATACTAATAATAAGAAATCTTTGTTGGTTTTATTTTTTTTTCCCCAAATGATACTACTCTGTTCTCTCATGGAAACATCACTCTAAATACAAGCTAACTTTTTATTTCAGAAACATGTGAAGTAAGTCTGTATTAAATTAATGGAAGTACTGAAATCTCTTAATGCAAAGCAGCAGCCTAAATATCTCTTTTTAAAAATAAAATCAATTCATTTGAAGGCATTTATTCTAAATAATCTGCAACATTTAGCAAGGTTAGCATATCGCGTGTGTAGTAATATAAAGGAGAAGTCTAAAGATTACACAGGAAGACTTTTCCTATCTCCTGTGCCCTTGCTATGATATAGTTAGTTTTCTCTAAAGTTGTGCTCTTTCCAAATACCTATTTTTCTTCAGTCCAACTGTACCTGTTCACCTGTCACATGGTATGTTTATCCTGCGTTTTTATAGAAGGCAGACAGCCACAGAAAAGCACTGTTGCAGAAAGGTTATTTCTTCAGCATTCTCTCTTATATTCCTCCAGCACGTCATGATTTCAGTGTGTAAATGTGTGCATGTGTGTGTTTACTTTCTCTTTTTGGCTCCTGTTGCTACAAAGGAGCTAAAATGCAGCTGTCGCTAAGAGCTCCAGAGAGCAAAGATCTACATTATTCAGAAAATGCACTTTAATAAAAATATGTCCTTTAAAAAATATTATTTGCATATGTGCAGACATAGCAAGATAGATTAGAAAAAAAAACAATACAAGGGAAAAATCAGCTGTGAGAAAAAAATTAAATCGCATATCGAAGAACAGCTAGCATAACTTAACAAGCTCAAGACACTAGCAGTTGAAAAATATTCTCATTCCAGGTCTGTTATTTCTTTGTAAAAGCTATAGATCAACAAAATCCATTTTTGTTTGCATCAATTACCATCAGGGTAGCTTCAGACACTTTGCCACCACATCAAATTACTGACACAATTATTGTACTAATTCAGCATATAATTCTTCATTAGGAAGATAATATCTTTCTTAGTATATCTCTTTTGCTTTTTTCACAGAAAATGTCAACAGAAGGTGAAGTGGGAAACTGCTTTAAAGATCTGTAAGAAACTTCCCCTGGCATATACTTTGTCATTATATACTGTATAGCTACGCAGAGTTTTCAATGAAATTAAGACTTCCGTTACATCAAAACCAACCATATAAAAATTCAATGGCTATGAAGAAGTACGGTGAAAATTCCTGTGAACTTGCTAACTTCTAACTTACTTGTAGCTTCCGAGTGAGGGATCAAGGCCCATCCACCACAGAGGGACCTATCTCTATGCTTCTTGGAACCATCCTCCACCCCTCCTACTGAAAGCTTAGCCACATGCAGAAAGTTTTTTTTTTTTCTTTCTTTTTTTTTTTTTTTCTTTTAACATCTCTTATTAAAAACAAAAAATAATGAAAGATCAAAAGAAATAAGGATCTCTGTTTTTCCAGCATAAGGATACACTCCTAATGTGGTACACGTGCAATAACAATCTTAGGCAGTACAACATAAATTCTTCAAGTAATGCTCAAAAAACCAAGAATAAATATCCCACATTGCTAATGCTTTATTTCCAAAGGTACTCTTTCATTTCAATTAATCAAAAATGGAAATAATGTTTCTCTCCTCTGTCTCTTCAAATATTAATTTTCAGAACAACCACAGGAGCTTACTATATTCTAAATGTAATAGTTAAACATCAGTGGCTATTGGAAAGAAAAATAGGTGAAAAGAATTGTAAGCTGAATTTAGTTACAGAAGCTGAAAAGATGAAGGATCAACTTTAAATGTCAGCATCTTTAAAACCCGATTAATCACAAATGTCAATGAAGTTAACAACTTTGGGAAAATAAAAACAAAATTAACTAAAACAGCAGAAAGGGGTTATTTCTTCTAAGACCACAGATGCAATGAAAAGATCGGCACTTTTCTCTGCAAGTTGCAGAAAAAACATTTACCTTATATATACATATATATTAAAAAAAAATAAAGTATTATTCCACCATTAGACTCCCCATGTGGTGTTTGTTCTCTTTAGATTCATCTGAAACCATGGTGACTAATAAATTGGATCAACTGACAAACTAAAATTAAGACTTACACCGAACAACAAAACCCTTGGGCTAACTGTCACATTTTTCCTTTTCATTTACTCACACAAACATGTACAGCAAGACTTCAGGAAACCAAATAAAGCTACACTAAAATGACCTAACGACAGTCCCTATCTAATTATTTATTTGCTATTAGAACACTGTTTTCTACATATTTTTTTTTTCCCCAGGTATCACATTTTATAATGAAATGGCATTATTCATTATGAAGTGAAAAATAACAACTACTGAGAGCTAATTCAAGTTGATGGAAACAAAGGGAGTTTTTATTTTCCTTCTAGCTTTATACAAATATGAACTCTCTATCATACAGAATATTGCAGAATGGTGAACATCACATAAATTTTTGCTACATTTTTATTTTATATACTTTCAAATTTTCACACTATCCTGTTTCTTGTGTTTGTCTACCACTGAACAGAACATTGTTTTTAACTTATATCACTTCTGGAACTCCAGACTCAGACCTTTTTCTTGTGAAATGCCTCCAGACAAATAAGGACATAATATAAAGCTCTGCTATTTTTTTTTCTAATATAAGTCTCCAACCAAACTTTTGTCTTACAAAGCATTTTTTTATTTTTCTCTTTTTCCTAGAGTGACGTTTCTATGAACATGTTATAGTATACTGTAAGAATGCTTTTCAAGATAGAGAAGAAAGCGATCTCCACCATAAACTGGGCAAACGTGAGACAGGGAAGAGGATTATTCACGTCACTTCAGCACTGAACCATAATTTAAGTTTCCTCTGTTCACCAGTTTGATTTCTGGCGTTCATATTTCTGCTTGCATTCAATTCATTTGAAGGCATAACGACACTATCATGCAGACAATCACACGCTAACCTCTACCAGTACCTTAACCTGAAAATCCACTGTTTGTTGCTCTTCTAAGCACAGACGAAGTCCTACAGTCTTATGGCTTCAGGAATACAGTTGCCTTGTGTATTGCCAGCACAGAGTCCAGTAGCAAGGTTACATAAATGCCCAGGCCTACACAGAGAATCCCACTTGTCTTTTCTAATGTCTGTTTCAGTCCTAAAAACATGAACATAAGCTACGTAAGAAAAAAACCCTTAAAAAATGAATGTAATTCCCCAGGGCCTTCCCTTAAGCAAAAGGATAGATTGTAAATAGGACCACAAGAAGTTAGTACCCTAAAATGTACAAGGTAGCTGTTATGAAAATT